GGCCATCAAAGTTTGGTGCATCTTCTGCCAATCGCAGACATAGCTGAGCATACAGTGAGCTATACTTTGGCTCTTCTAGGGCTTTGTCCACAATCTACAGAAAACACCGTTTAAAGAAAAAAATCTTTTATTTGGTACAGGACCTTGCTATGCAGCTCAAGCTCATGGCTCCTGTTTTCAGCCTCTCCAGCACTGGGATTACAGGTGTGCACTACCATGCCTGGTTTCAGTGGCCTGCTTGGTGCAGCGCTGCATGTTACCTGGGATTGAACCTGGGTCCTTACACTTGCCAGGCAGGTACTCAGACTGCCAGGCTGTATCTCTCCCCAGCCCCCAAAAGTCATTTTAAAAAACCTAAAAAATGAACTTTTCTTGTACTGGTGACTGAACTTGGGGCCTTATGCTTGCAAATACTCTACCACCAAGCCATTTAAAAAATGACTTTAAGAGTTATTAGCTGGGATTACAGGTATGTGAAAGGCATGGTCCCAATAATCTTAGATGTCATAACAAATTACTTCTCTGCCTTATTTACAACCTGTGAATAAAAAGAACTTATTTCTATGAAGTCCTGGGTGTAAACTAGACAATATAGACCAACCATTTAGCAGGAATGTAAGTACTTAAATGTAAACCAGTACAGCACACCAAAAACAGCGAGCTAAACTAATTTTCATGTAACTGTATTCCTCTCCTCCCTAGAGTTAGAAAACTACACAGATCCTGGAGGGCTGAGCTCCTGGCCTGTGTTAGGGGCCCAGCAAGAATGAAAGCCACACACTCAATGCTCAGCACTGCAAGACAAAACAAAACTGGAGTATTTACTTGTAAGTCTAACACACAGCACCTTTCACGAAACCAACGCTGACAGCCACTCCCTATCAACTTAAATTTACTTTTTTCATAAACATATCCACCTAACGAACATCTCAAGACTTTTATAATTAGGAACAAAAACATCTAAGGTTTGTTCAATGTTTTCCTTTCTTTTTGAGTTTAAGCCAACATTTAAAACTCACCAGCAGTATGACCCCTTTAAGGATGAGTTTAGACTCTACACCCACATTGAGGAGCTCAAGGCATAGCTTGTCAAACTTCTCAGGAGTAAGCTTAT